ATCCTATTGCACAAGTATACTTAAGTAGATGTTATATTGAAGGATTTGGTATTGAAATCAATAAAGATTTAGCATTTAGTTGGATGCAAAAAGCTGCAGAAAATAAAAATATTAATGCAATGTTTCATTTAGCTTTAAGCTATAAAAATGGTGAAGGAACAGATGTAAATTTAATAAAAACATTATATTGGTATCAAAAAGCTGCAGAAATTGGATATACTGATGCAATATTTAATTTAATTATATATATAACAAAAAAACAGATGTAAATTTAGAAATGGCATTTTATTGGTATCAACTAGGAATACGGACAAAATAATATAACAAATTGACTGACTTTTCCGAAGAAATTGGACTCGATATCATGTGAAATGAGGATATTTCTTTCTCAAATTTCCAACATTAATAATGTAAACTCTCAGTTTATCGTTGCGAATATCAACCTGATTTTCATGATGCGATCTTATTTGATTCAAATTCGTTTTTTGATCGTGTATGGCAAACCAGATCCTCTACAAAAAAAAACCATTACTTCGTGTAAAAAATCCGTCAAACTTTTACACCGTCAATATCACCAATCAATTCATTCCCAAAAGAAATTTAATTAGAAATTGCAAGAACAAAAATTATAAAATTCATCCAAAGACTTTAATTAGAAGAATATTACAAAAATGAAGAAGATATTTTATAAATCATTGAAATCATTCACGATAAAAAATATATTTTTGCACAATTCATATGCACAAGTATAGCAATTAGTATAATATAATCAATATAAGCGAATACAAATTAAAGCCTAGCTATAGAAAACTATTCATCCCTATATTAGCGTTCGTTCATTTCACATATAAAGCCATCGAAGAAAAAATAATTCATTTAGATTCGTCGTATACTTGTTGTAGTTGATCGAAGACGTTATCCTTTTTAAAAAATATGTAGGTTTCATATAGGGTTTGAAATTAGTACATCGTAACCGATTAGATCAAATGTGATATCAGCTGGGGAATTGGGTGCCCATGTAAATCTCTTTAGTTTTGACCCAGTCGGACCAGTTAGTTCCATTACCGATGCATATCAACCAAGGATTTGAAACTTGAGTGATCCTTGTACTTTTACCATACCCAAAAGCTTGAATAGAAGTTGACTGCCAACTTTCAAAGCTACTATGCAATCGTTGTCTCAACTATCATTCTGAAGTTATTTTCCACATTTGACACTTTAACTTCATCTCTTGCATTTACTGAGTTTCGAAGGGAAAATACTCGCCTAATGTTTGGCAAAAGTAATCCCCAAAGGTGTCAATAGGGCATTAACAGATATCATTTCAATATCTGTCAATGACCTTTTATGTGCATAAATTGAATCACAAACCTGCCATTCTTTGCGATTAACATCGTCAATATTTTCGCACCATAACAAATCTTTTAATAATAGGGACGTAAAAGCTCCCGGGATGTTCTTTCTGCAGTTCATCATATTCATCATAGGAAAGGTCATTATCTCCATACTTGATTAATTTCCCATTGATAATCAATACATGACTACCTTTTGAAGAATCAAAAGCTTTAGTATCGAGCAGTTCACGATACGCAATTGTATTTTTAGCGAGTTCCTCCCCCCTGTCTTCCCAATCGGGGTGAATTATAAAATCGAAAACTTCACGACGTGCATGAACATTCATAGTAGAAGGCCAAATAAAATTGGGGCCAGCAAATTCTAAACAAAGCATACGTTAGCAAAGATGAGTATGTCAATATTTTGTATTTTTAAGATCAAAGCTGGATCAGATTTATTACATACTATAGAATTTCTTTATTTCTTCGATATTTTTTGCGAATTGCTTGATATCTAGATTTTCAGCAAAGTTGTCAAGTTCCTGATCTTCAACTTTATCATTGCTTGTACTTTCAGCATACGTTTCAGATTTAGATCCTATACACATCTTGTCGACCGAAGATACTGTATTAACGGATGTATCCTTGAGTGTTTCATTTAAGTTTAGTTTGTTAAACTCTACTTCGAGATTAGGATTCGGGTTGGACATGTTAATTTCTGTGGGTGAGTTGTCATAGTTTACATAGATAGTTGACACACGTTAACACGTTACTTTCTGAAATGCAAAATAAGTTCAGAATGGGATAAAAAAAAATTTATCTGAAGGTACCTTCGTTTTAGTTTTAAATATTTTTTGCAACCTTAGTTTGATTTTTGTCGAGATCATACAAGTTTTATCGCGTTTGGAAAGAGACGTTAGCTAATAAAACTTATATGATTAGTAATTCGTCACAATTATGTTATTAGTCACAAACTTTTTTACCCACGTGATTTCTAGCCGGTGACGAATATTATGTGATAAATAAGATTTCACATAATCCAAAAAACTTAAGTTCCCTGAAAGTAAAAAACGAAAACACAGCAGGTGCGACACCGGTGACAAATATTTTATGATCACGTGACAGTGGATTTTTTATGGCGATGCTGGGGAATATATTATTTGAATTTTTCGAATATTTAGTTTTGGAATTTTTTATAAAAAATTCTGAAACGAAATTCTAAGCAAATGTGATGAAGTACAAAACCAAAAAATCCTACAACAAGATCAAAGGTACTAAAAATGAATAAAAGGAATATGTTACTGCCACTGGCGTTTATTTTTATTTTTTATTTTTTAATGACCTAAATAAGTGTAACATCAATCAAAAAAATCTAAAATTGGATTTTAGAAATGATCAACTAGATTTTTAATCATGGCCGGCCTTAATTAATATTCGAAAGTAACATATATTTTTTATTTAATATTTATAAATATCATTATTAAATTTTTTGGAATATATATTGCATATGTATAGATTATGATATTTTATTAAATTGGGAGTATTGTGGTGCTTTTTGTTTTAGACGAGAATATTCTTTAATTACATACGATGATCTGGACTCAACTTTATATCGTGTGTTCAACTTTGATTTCAAGTTGTCATTATGGTGATTATTAATTTCTGTTTAAAGCATAGCATAATTATATTACCAGGGTAGACTATAATATTAGATAATAACGATCTTATATGCTATTAACCTTGCAGGATTAGTAGTTATGAATAAAGCATTAAGGCTAATACTATTTATTTTGCAAAAATATTTAATCTTCCGTGGTACATATCACGAATAAGAAGAAATTTTTGTATTGTAAATTAAGCATTGTGGAGAAATAATTCGCGATTCAATTTGACCTTTGCAATCTTTTTTTAAAGTTTAAATATCACATTAATCATAATTTGTTTATTAATTATTGATCGCGACAATGTTCTGTAAATAATTTTGGCTTATTACACATGATACTATAATTAGCCATAGTGCTATTAGGTTGTAATTTGATTACACCAAAGATTTATGTATTGTAAAGAAATTTTTTTTGGGTTCGATCGGTTCCCCCACTTTGGCTAAGAACCGGACGGAACCTTCGAACGGAACCGATGGTTCCTCACCGTGACGAAGGTAAGCCGTCGTTGAATTTTTCTTGTTTTTTTTTTAGTTTATATTATTTTATTTATTTATATTTTTTTTTTAATACTTTATTTATTCTTTTTTTTTAGGTTCAATCAGTTCCTCCACTTAGGCTAAGAACCGGACGGAACCATCGAATGAAATCATCTGGTTTGTCACTGAGGCGAAGGTAAGCTGTGTATTTTTATCTTATTTTTTTTAGTTCATATTTATTTTTATTTATATATATTTTTTTAATATTTTAGTAATTCATTTATTTTTTTTTTAGGTTTGATCGGTTCCTTCACTTAGGCTAGGAACCTTTAAACGGAACCGTCCAGTTCGTCACTGAGGCGAAGGTAAGCCATTTATTTTATTTTATTTATTTAGTTTATATTTATTTTTATTTATTTATATTTTTTTTTTTAATATTTTATTCTTTTATTTGGTTCTTCCACTTAGCTAGGAACCTTTGAATGGAACTGACCGGTTTGTCACACTGTAGTGAAGGTAAGCTGACTAATTTTAATTAAATAATTTCTTTTTTTTAAATTAATTTTTATTCTTATATATTTTAGGTTAATTTGGTGCCATCTCTACCATCTCTTAGGCTAAAAATCGAACAGAACCTTCAAATGGAGGCTAAGGTGAGCTGACTAATTTTTTTTGATTTATTATTTTTTTCTTTTCTTATTTTGGTAATTAATTTGATTACTAATTTTATTTATTTTATATTATTTATTTGTTTTAGGCAGTTTTAGGTTGGACCGTCAGTGATTTTTTTTTATTTTTTCTTAGGTTAGATCAGTTCATCCCTTTGGCTAAAATTATCAGATGAAACAGGATTTTCGTTACCGCAGTATATGTTTTTGACGAATTCTTTCATTATTTTAATTAGTAATCGTAATCA